GTTTGAGCAAAAACTTAGGTTTGGTTACTACAAAAACTAGATTTTAATTAATTTTGATTAAAAATTAAAGTAAACTTTTTGAAACATCATTTTTAATTTACAGATTTCGTTATCCTATGTTGAAAAAAGGCACAATCTTAATTTCTTTTTTCTTTTATTTTCCTTTAACTTGAAAATATATTTAAATTTTTTGAAACAAAATTTTCAAATTAGTGTTCCTTTTTAAAAGCTATATTTCTTATATTTGAAGCCACAATCTTCAATTTATTTCTGTGTACCAATCTGAGCCGGTAAAAACACTGCACTCGCACACAAGAGTTTTACGAGTTTTACGTTTTTTAAATCGCTGGGAGAAGCACGCTTTGAAGACACCGGCACTGAATTCGCGTGTGGATGCCCTACGAAGTGCCTCGTTCAGCGGTCAGACTGAGACTAACACTGAGGCCTGAAACCGAAACTTTCGACTGATGGCGAGAAGGAAACACTGCGTCGGCGGCGCCAAAAGCAGCGACGTCGTCGACATCGGGAGAATGCCAAAGCTAAAATGCTACTGTTTTCCGCCTTTGGAAAAACATTTTGGCAGATACTTTTGTTGCTGATACTGATGGAGCGCAATATTCGAAATGCAATTAAAAGCATTGTTTGAAAGAATTCAAAACAGTAGATAACTTTTCAGGCGGCACGAGAGAGAGAGAGAGAGAAAGCATTTAAATGAAAACGAAAACTGTGTTTAGTAAACAACAATCTCTGCTTTTTGTGAATCGAATTTTTGCTATACAAATTAAATAATTTTGATTGATTTTTAATCTAAAGTTGTGTACTTTTACCAAATCATTTAAATCTCTACAAAATTGCTTGGTAACGAAATAGGAATGAATTAAAACATTTTAGCCAAATTTTTTGTTAGACTTATAATCTTTTTAAATATAAAAATTCTAAAGAATTTGAAATGGCTTTGAACTTAATAATATACTTTTATTTTCAATCAATATTAATAATAACTCTTATGGTTGTTAAAAGACATAATTTATTTTTAACAAAATATAAAGATTTAATATAAATTACCTAATCTTATCTTTTCGTATAGCATAGCAACATAAAGATTAGAGATAATATTGAATTTATCAGACCCAAAAGCTGTCTAACAGGTATGCTAATTACTTGGCGTAGTAGCAATCGTTAAGTATTTGAAATCTTCCTAATACTTATAATAAATACATTTCAAACTATAATTTAAGTAATATTGAGAATCCTTTTTAAAAAGATTCCTATAAGCACGACCTACCATAGCTTTTTCATTTCTTGTGTGATGTGCTATGGCCTCGAGTTAAATCTAAGCGCAATTACGCCAAACGCAGTGCAGTTTTCCGCTGCAAGACAGGCAAAGACTTCAGGTGCTTTTGACTTCTGCATTTCCCGGCTTTTCCCCCAGTCTTCTTGACTGCAACCACTTGGCTATAAATAGGACCAACTGGAGACGAACCCAAGGGGCAACACTTTCGTTTAACTTTTGTGGGGAAACAGGCAAGAAAGCAACAGAAATTAGTTCCCAGGCGGCTTTATAATACTTTGCCAAAGGGAAAGGGTGAATCAGGCAGGGAATTGGGAGGGGAATACGAGTAGTCAATAGACAACAACATGTGCCCCTGGTCCCACATGTGCCGTAGCAAGTTTGCCGTCTTAATTATTTATACGTAATAAAACTAAGCATAATTTTCCAGCAAACAACTAAACCGGCAACGCACTTGCGCCTCATTTCAAATTCTATAAATAATTTGAAAAGCAGTTGATACGAATCGCAAAAGGCTCTAAAGGCTCACTCCCAAAACGCCGGAAAAACTGAAAACACATTCATACAAGTTGTTGAGAAAAAAAAGAGAGAGAGAGAGAGAGAGAGAGAGAGAGAGAGAGAGAGAGAGAGAGAGAGAGAATCGAAAGAGATATTGAGAGAGATAGCAGTGGCAGAGGAAGAGAGCGCTGCCGACGTCGACTACGCGGCAGCAGCGTCACATGTGGCGTATGCGTTATTTTGTCAGTCTTATCAGAAAGCCATTGCAAGCAAACTTTATTTTAAAGAGCCGGGCCATTTATCGAACTTGCAACGTGTTGTCTCCTGCGGTCCCAGTTGCCCCCAATCCCCCCTTGGGATACATCCTCCCTTCAGCCATTTCAGCCACAAGAGTCGCGTTGTTTGCACGCTGGCTGCCCAAAGCCCGCCAATTGTTTATTCAAGCAGCATCGCAGCACCACGGCATCCCAATCCCAGCTCATGTTGCCCATATGCACTTGAACTGCCTTCGACCGAGCTGCTCCTCCATCCCCATCCCCAGCTGCCTTTTGGCCGGTGCCATGCCTGTGCATTCATTTGGCCGGCGATGTGTTTGTCTGGCCATTTTTTTCCGCCTCTGCAGCCAGTCTCCGCCTAGCATACTGAGAAAAACTAGAAGCCCATTTGGTGAACGATTCCATTTCAAATGGTTTCATTGGCAATCAAAACGAAAGTTACATTTTTCATATATATAAAAGTTTCAAGTTGAAAACGGTTTTAATCTATCCTGTCCTTTGTGGTCACTTCCTAAATAAGGAAATCTGCCATCTCTACTTTGTCAGCACATGTTGTAACGTAATTATTTTGCCATTTAACATATTAAAATTAACAAATTAAATTTTCTTAAAACTTAAGTATAGATAGTTAAATAGATGGATAGTTAAATAGATAGATAAATTTTGAATATTAAATTTAAATATTCTTTCGAAAATTTTTTTCTCTTTTTTAAAAATATAAATTTAAATAGTATTTAAGAATCGTTTTCAAAACTTTAGATGGTAACGTAAATATAAACATCTACCCAAATTTTTTTCTTGCAAGTGCTTTTTGCTAAAATATTTGTCTCTGTGTAGGAAGCGCTCATTGCAGTTGTTATCGCCGCTGTTTGTTGTTGTCGCCGGGCTTAAACGGCTCTTAGTGGCAGTGAATCAGTGGCCAAACATGTAATCTGTTTAATGGCCAACTGACCGTGCATCGAAGCCGGTTACTCCTACACGCCCCTGAACCATTTTAGCCGGTCGCGTATACGCACCGTGAGCTGGACAAAGTCTTGGAATTTGCATAGATCTTTTTTTTAAATACTTGTACCCTTTTTTTGGCGGCACTATAAAATGCCCACCTGTTGAATATGGCGAACCAAAAGAAAAAAAGAAACACAAATGCCACTTGGACATTTGGGGCCAAACAAAAACGTGAAAAATCGTTAAACAAAATAACCGCAACACAAAAAACAAAGTAATACTGAAAGCGAGCGCAAACTTGTTCAGCTGCGTCGCCACTGATTTGCATAAACCGCTAAAACGTAAGCTGAAACAAATAAACATTTGCCATATCTCTGAGTAAACAACATCAAATAGAGGCTTGCAATATAGTCTCGGCAGAGTTGATTTTTCAATTAGTCGGGGAACGAGTTGGATTCTTAAAACCCTTAATCTAAATCTCTGATCTCGACACTTTTTATTACACTGGCAGAACCTGGTCTACAAGCCTTTTCGGGGCTTTTGATTTGCGATTATTCCTCGTTTTAAACACCGTTTATCGGACCCAAAAAAAAGTTCTTAAATAAATGACCCAAAAATTTCAAATTCGGACCAAAAACATGACTAATTTACATAAATAACGATGTGAGTCGCCATGACTAGCCTCTAACCATTTTCTGATTTAAAATGAACTTAATCATAAACTTGATCTAAAAACTCATTTGCATCCCAGCAAATAGATAACAATCTGATTGCATCCGATTTTTGCGCCTTGAGAGCTATCGTTTCCGTTTGAAATACTGGTTCATGCAATTTAATGATTCTGTTAAACTAAAGTCATCTTTTTTATACCTTTAAATCTAAGACCTACTAAAATTTAACAAAAATTTGTACGCATTTGCTAAACCTGCTTGTCAATTCTGATGACCAAGTTTATTATTTCCAGACCGTTTATAGATCTCATATAAAAGCGCTTAAAAGGTGCTAAAGATGTTGATACTGATATTCAAGACTGATTAGCATTTAACTTGATTCGCTTTGATTGGGATTATCCTATTAATTTCCCCTAATTAAGTAAAGAGATCATTTGCATTTTGGAATTTTTTAACGGTTATTAACCGAAGTTCTCTGGAAAAAAAACTATGTAAAAACTTAGATTACTCCAGAAAACATTTTTTTTTTGGTTCCAAATGTTCTCGAAATTTTAAAATCAAGACAAACAAGCGCCATCTATTATCATTTTTGTACAATACTGGGAACACGGAAACTAAGTCACCACCAATAGGCGGCTTGTAAATAAAACTGTCTTATACTTGTACTTACACAAAAATTAATACTCTTATATCTTTGTTTGCCTATAGGAATTTTTTACAAACAGTTTCCCTCTACTGGATTTTTTAATATTCTCAGCGAATACACAAACCTTATTGAAGCGCCATCTATGGTCGTTTTGTGGGGTCGAGTCGAATTAGTCCTTCTGGCAACTCCAGTCGCATTTAAAAACATCTTTTTCAGTCCTGGTGGCAGCGCTGTTAAAACAGCGATGCTTCTTTTTTTTTTTTTTTGTATATCCAAGTTTCAAACCTTTTGCGCCGCACTGCCAATGAATTGCTAAGCTTTTTAACTTATTTAGTTTCAAATCTAGTGAAGTTTCAAATCTATTTTGTTAAGTTAAAAGTCTTATAACGTGATTCAGTTGCCGATGTTTGTTTACTAAAATATTCAATGATTCAATACTTACACAAAAATTAATACTCTTATATCTTTGTTTGCCTATGGGAATTGCGTAAGCGACATCTGTCGACTTTTTACAAACAGTTTCCCTCTTCTGGATTTTTAAATATTCTCAGCGAATGGCAGCGCCATCTATGGTCGTTTTGTGGGGGAGGAGTCGAATCATTCAATCTGGCAACGCCAGTTGAATTTAAAAATGTTTTTTCGGTCCCAGTGGCAATGCTGGTAAAACAGCTGTTTCTGCTCCTCCCCCACCCACGTCCATCGTCATTGTTTTGCTGTTTTTTCGTACATTGTATTATTTTTCTTGTCTTTTTCCCTTGAAAATGAGCTCCTGGCGAGAGAGCCTGACCAGCATTCCGGGCACGGTGGCGCAGCTGATCAACGATAGTGCCAGCAGCCTGCTGCACACCTCATCGTCGCTGGGCTCAACAGTTGGGCCCCTGGGCTCCACTGGTTCCGGATCGGAAGGAGACTCCGAGGAGGGCGGACCGCAGGTCGAGTATCGGGCACTGCCCATACCGGCCTCCCTGGTGCGCGAGCAGTGGCGCCTGATCTTCACCAGCGATGCGAACATCCAGGACCTGCAGGCGGCCATTGCCCATTGCAGGGATCTCGTCTTGCTGAGTGACGAACTGAGCGATGAGCGACGTTGGTTGGTTCGCCACCTGGTGGACCTGCGATACTCTCTGCAGGAACTGGAGGAGGCCCAGGAGCAGCAGTCGCTGGCCCCGGACATGGTTGTAATGAACGCCATCCGGGCAGTGGTTGGCCATCACTTTGTGCCCCACCATCCGCACCACGGCAAGCGAAGTCGCCTGCAGGCGGCGGCCAGGCGCCACTACTGTGACCACTGCACTGCCATCATCTGGAGCGTGGTCCAGGCATCCTACGTGTGCAGCGACTGCGGCTTCCTGGTCCATCAGAAGTGCATCGATGGCGTGAAGAGGGTGTGCGCCCACGTACAGGTCTCCGAGCGCCAGCATCCCGTCGCAGAGATCTGTCCGGAGGTGGGGCTGGCTGCCCAGGGTTACAAGTGCGCCGAATGCGAAACGCTGCTTAATCTGAGTGAGTTACGGTTTTCCTTTCCCATTCCAACTCTATAGAATGCTTTCTTGCAGAAAACACTTGGGTGGAACCTCGGTTGTGCGACTATAGCGGCCTGTACTACTGCCCTCGTTGCAACTGGAACGACAGCAACTTTATACCAGCCCGCATTATCCACAACTGGGACTTCTCCCCGCGCCGTGTTTCGCGGGCGGCGCTCCAGGAGATCAGGCTGTTCATGAACAAACCCCTCATCCGCCTGGAAGAGGACAATCCCAAGCTCTTTGTGTTCGTGGAGAAGCTGTGTGCGGTAAAGAAACTGCGCCAGAATCTGGTGCACATGCGCCACTACCTGGCCGCCTGTCGGATTGCCAGCGAGCTGAAGCTGGTGGACCAGCAGCTGGGCTGCAGACGTCACCTGGCCCAGTCGAATGAGTTCTACTCCCTGAAGGATCTCACGCAGGTGGAATCGGGTGCCCTCGCCGAATTTCTGCAGAGCGTGTTCAAAGCCTTCGACGAGCACATCAGATGCTGCCCAATGTGCCTGGCCCAGGCGTACATCTGCGAGATCTGCAGCAACAACGAGGTGATCTTCCCCTTCGACGATGGATGCATCAAGTGCGAGCAATGCAACTCCATTTACCACCGTGTCTGCCTGACGCGAAAGAACATGATTTGCCCCAAATGCATCCGCATCCAGGAGCGACGCCTCCAACTGGATCGCATGAGGAGCACGGAGGATGACGAGGTGGCCACCGATGATGAAGTGGCTGTCGCGGAGTAACTGATTTAATCAGACTTCACTCGTATCTGTGCTGGATTTTAATGTTATCATATGTACATAAGATTTAACTACAAAATGTATCTTACTATTACTATTATATTAATCCTAGCATTTTACTTATCCTTCTTCCCGTACTTTTCCCGCTTGTGGAACTTTCGGGGATTTATGCCGTAGGCTTTCAATCGATCGTCGGTTATTCCACTGCTGTTATTGTTTATTTTATTTTTAGCTTTAAAGCTATTCGTTTTCTTCGCTGGGAAGGGAGCGCTGGCCTTTTCGCTTGTTTTCCTGAAGGGATTGGCACCAGAAGGAGCTTGTTTGTATTCGCCTTGGTTGTTATTCACTTGTTGTCGTCCTTGTTTCTGGTTGGGTTTCTTCTGCTGCTTATTAAAAGGATTATTTCCATTTGACTTTTCCGAATTTTTAAAAGCATTGTTCTTTTGAGTTTGGCTTTGTGATTTCTTCAATCCGTTTTCCCCATTTTTGGGCTCTATTGTGTTTTTGCTACTATTTTTGCTTTTCTTTGGAGCAGAAGGATCAGCCTTTGTTTTACTTTCCTCTGCCTGTCCTTGCTCTGTTGATTCCTTGGGTTCCTGATTGGATTTCTGAGAGGAACTGGCTGCAGCAGCTGCGGCTGCTTTCCGCTTTAGGCGTTTCCTCTTCGATTTCGATAAGGCTTCTGTTGGGACTTGAGCATTATCAGTGGCGGCAGTCGTTTCAGCAGCAGACTTAGTCTCCGGAGTCTCATCTGCTGGCTGCTCCTCGTCATCAGATCTGCAAGGAGGTCAAATTTAATTGCTTGATAAAGAACTTGTTATAATAACTTACCCTTCGCCATACAGACTTTTAAATATCTTTCGCTTAAGATCTTCGTTCTTGGCCTTCATCTTATACAGACGTTGCTCCTTTTTCTCGACATGTTCGGGTCTGTTTTGAACAGCTTTCTTAAGGCTGGCCCACTGATTGAGCTCTTTGTTCTTGGCCAGCAAGATCTGCAGTTTAGAAATAAATTATTATAATATACTGAGTATATAAGCGGTCTTAAAGTATAGTACCTCTTCTATCGTTAAACCAAAATCGTTGGGTGTGGTTTCCACATATTTAAACCTACACGGCTGATCTCCCACGATGTCCTCGCAGTCCATTTGGTAGTACTCATCGATGTACTCACTGTAGGTCTTTTCGTCCTCCGGATTGAATGCCGGCTTCTCCGCCTGGATCATTTCCATGAAGCGATTCCGCCTACCCTTGCGGCCTTTACGACCGCGCGTACTTTCGATGAGCTCCTGCTGCAGTTGCTGCTTGGACGTGGACGGATCGTAGTCGCAATCCATGTTAAAGTCGTCGTCCTCGCAGTGTCCATCGTAGTCCTGATCGCCCGCATTAGTGTGCTTTGTGGGATCGTAGTTGTCCCAGTCTTCCAGCTCGAGTTCATCGATGTCCGAGGGGCATTCTGGCTTCTCCTCGCCCTCGTCCACATTGTAGTACTCATCGTCGAAGAGCTCCTGCATGCGACGATCGTGGGCCGCCGGATCAAAGTCCTCCTCAAGCTCCTCGTCGCGGAAACCGAGCTCATCGTTGCCAGTGACGGCTTTCAATTTACGTATCTTCTCCTCGATCTCCTTGCGCTTGATGTCCTTGATCAGCTCCAGTTCCTTCATCTTTTGCTGCTTCTCCTGATCCTTACGCTCCTTGACCTCCTTGCGCTTTTCTTTCCGCTTGTCGTCTGTGCGCCGGATGGACTGTTCGATGGTGCGGGGATAGCGCTTGATGAACTCCGCATCGGGCTCTTCAAAGCGGAAGTTGTACTTCTGTTCGAACTCCGCCTGCTTCTCCAGCTCCTGTTCGTCCTCGGAAAGCGGGGCCGCTTCTCCCACGATCTCGTCGTAGGTGGGAATGGCGGACTCATCGGTGTTGGCATAGCCCTTGTTGAGGATGTAGTCCCTGAGGAAGCTCTCGCCCTGTGTCAGCTTGCTACTGTTCCAGTACTGTTTCAGTGGCTCCAGCTGCTCCTTGTCGGTCTGCTGGATCTCCTCCTGCTTTCCCGCAAGCCACTTGGCAAAGTCCGCCTCCTCGGCCGCCGTTTGCTCCTTGGTCTTGGTGCGTTTCTTGAATATGCCGCCGAATTCCTCATCTTCGCCATCGTCCTCCTGGTTCATCACACTCCGGAACTCGTCCTTGAGTCGCCGCTCCGCTTCCACGGCGGTGGGTGACTGGGCCCTCTGCATTTCCTCCTGCTCCTTCTCCTGCTGCTCCTCATCCGAACTCTCGAATTTGCCATTGTGCTCCAGGATCACCTTTCGTTCGTAGTCCTTCAAGGTGACAGGCTTCGCTTTCTTCTGCTTCTTTGGCTGCCCCTCCTCCTCGTCGCTTGAGGATTCATTAAAAAATTTCGTGCCCTTGTCGTAAATCCGTGGGTCTTTACTTTTCAGCGAGGACAGCGTCTTAAAGAAGTCCTGATCGAACTTGGGGTCCACCTCGTCCTCCTCGGAGGACTCGCTGTCGCTATCGAACTCCGATTCGGATACATCCAAGCCGCGATCTTTATCTGTGGAATATCAAGTGATATAATTGAGAAGTTCCAAATGATCGTAGTTACATTTCTGTAGCAGCTCCTTCTTGCGCAGGATGTTGTAGGTCTTGGCATAGTCCTTGTTGGTGGACAACTGCAGGTCCTCTCCGTCATCATCAGAGCCCTCGAAAAGATTGTTATTCATGATTTTGTTTATTTTCCCGGATTGTTTTATAAAGTTCCACACGTGTTTACGATAACACCCGAATGTTAAATAACATAGTCGGTGTTATCGCTAGAGATGGGCAAATATAAAAAGTGATTTTTCAATCATATAATTTATATTTATAAAAACTATAAATTTAATTTTAATTGGTGTAACACTGAGAAACCGTTTTCTAAATTCGAATTTATAAATGATATTATATATTTACAACATTTTATTTTTTAGTAAATAAATAAATAACCACCGATCTCGTGACTTCTATCGATGTTGTCATCATAGCTTTGCCATCTCTAATATTTTGTACTTTATTTACAACTGGCAATTTTTTAACCCATTCATTTAAAACTAAGCGTTACAGCCACATTCCAAATAGATGGCAGACACACCCGAATCCCAGGCGGCCTTGAGCACCTCCTCTTCCACGCCCGCCGATAAGGATGGCTCCAAAAGTAATTTGTAATGATTTCTTAGGGTCTTTGTTATCACAACGTTTTCGTTATCAGTTTGTATCCTTCTGAACGCCACTGGAAATGTGCCCATCATCAAGAAGCGAACCTGGACAGTCGATCCCAACAAAACCGTCAGCTGGATTCAAAAGTTCATCCACAAGTTCTTGAAACTTGATGCCAACGAGCAGATTGCAAGTACCAGTTAAGAGTTATAGAAAACACTATCTTATTCGGAATCTTCTAATTGCAGTTCCTGTACGTAAATCAGACATTTGCCCCTGCTCCGGATCAGATAATCAAGAACCTTTACGAATGCCACGGCACCAACGGGAAACTGGTGCTCTACTACTGCAAGAACCAGGCGTGGGGCTAAATCGATACGCACTTGACCAGGCTAAATCTTAAGTATTTATTTGTATATTATTAAATGTGACTAAGCTGATGTTGCGAACTCGTCTTCACACTTTATTTCCCCCAAAACGGGAGCCTAACAATTGTATTTAATGAATATTAGAAGAGGTCTAGTCGCCGCGCAGGGCTTCCAGCTCGTCGGCAGCCTCTTTGGAAACCCTGTGGTACTTGGCCACCGATGGTCGGTAGTAGTAGGCCTGGTAGTCGTTGCGCTCGGACATCTTGCGACGAACTTCGTCCTCCAGGAGGCTACAAAATCAAGGAAAGTCAGTTTAAAAGGGAGATAATATTAAGGAGCACCCTTAGGCTTACCGAATCTGGGCTTTCTCGTTCTCCTCGAAGAGATAGTGCAGGGATTTCTCGTAGTTTTGCTGCTCCGAGTTCAACATGTAGCGGGAAATGAAGCGCGAGATGGGGTGCTGGTCAAACAAAGAGAAATATTGGAATTAGAAAAGGATTTTTAACTGGTATAGCCTCATTTTCTTGCCAAGTTCAAAATAGTTTATAAGATGGGAATGATTAATATAAAAGCTTTAATGGGTTTGGTGGAAATTGTTTGATCTTGGAGTTTTCTTAAGTATTTCAGATAGTATAATCCGTCATTAGCTTTGGACACCTATCATACCTTCTCGTACTCCCAGTGTTTGGGGACATAGCCCTCGGGAGTCTCCGCCAGCTGCGCCGGGCCCACGAAGATGTTCGCGTAGAGGATCAATCCGGTGACAGGAATCAAGCCGAGCATTACGTAAAAGTGCATCAGATCCTTGAATTTGTCCCACTGGAAGCGGGATGGCTTGATGGTCATGTGGTGGTGGCCATGATCGCCTCCCATCCTGCGCAGCTGTTGTTGCAGGGCTAGAAATCCAGAATATTTTGTAGCGGTTGCGTAATGTGGAGTGTGTTTACCGCGACATTTCCGTGGAGTACTCACCATTCCGGCAGGCGGGATCTTGCAGGACAGCCCGGTAGCTGGCGAACTTCGCCGCCGGCGACAGCAAACGGCTCCAACCAACCATTTTATTGTATTTTTTTGTAGATCTCACGATATTTTGGAACTGGTCGTGTCAAAGTTGTGAGCAGCACGGCGAACGGTCACACTTGAGAGGGACCGTTGGTGTGTTTTGATATATCGATAACAGCAGAGATGGCAGCGTGATTTATTTTGCATTTGTTTAATTTACTTAACTCCTCAGACACGAAAAATATAATAAAATAAATAAGTTTTTTAGAATAAATACATCCAAAGCAACGTATTAAAATATTTCACAAAGCTGTTACGACCAATTTTACAAACACTTTCGTTTTGCATAGTCGAAAAAGTTTTTATATATACGAAATCCATTAAAAAAATTCACTTTAGGGGTTTTTAATTATTTAAAACTCTAATTATTGAAATAAGACCTTTATTTGGCTTCTTACAGCTATTACTCAAATTGTATTACGCCCCAGCTAAAAGAAATGATTTATTTACATAACCTACTATTAAATTAATTTGAATAACTTATATTTAAATTTAAAAAAAAAACCTTAAAAAACCCGGGGTTAGAGTCACACTGAGTCTGATTGGCACAATAAACAAAAAAGTTTGCATTTTTTTCGAGATGGAACAAAGTTAGTGTTGCTAAACTGTCAGTGCTGAAAAGAAAAAAATATGGCAACAAATCTGTTTTGAAGACAGGGCCACACTGAGTCTGATTGGCATTAGACAAAAACAACGTACGTCTGCAGTAAAATTAACGAAGATATTTTTCCCCACTGATAAAAGGTACTTTCCTCGCCACTTCTGACTCACAAACAAAGTGCAAACTTCAGGGAAATGTGGGGTAAAGTTTGGTAAAGTCAAACAATTGCAATCGCGCAAACTGGAGTGTTTTCTTGGGGCTGATAAAAGCTTGTAGCTCAGTATACAAAAAAAAAGTAAATATCATTAAGACGATGCAAGATTCAATTGCGCAGTTTTTATATTCCGGTTGTGACTGCTAGCAGTTGCCGTTTTCCCAAGGAACTTGTGCAAAATTTACTTAACTCCTTTGTGTGTGTATGTGTAAACAGTGGCGGGACAAAGGAGCCTACTCCCTTTTACAGTAATGGCAAAAAGGATCAGCCTTCTCCATGTCACAGTGGTGGCAGAAAGGATTGTTACAGTGGTGGCTTAAAGGATGTGTAGTCATTACATGTTCTTAATTATTATTTATTTGTATCACATTTGAACTTTTGTTAAAACACTTATATCTATCAAATGACAAATATAATTTTAATTTAATAAGTGTACTTCAAAAGCGTTGATACAAATATACAAAAATTAATTGGTCAGCTGTGAAACTTGAACACGGGCTTATCCCATCTTGAAGTAATAAAATGGTAAACAAAACAATTTCTTAATTATGGGATAACTTTATCTTTTTATTATGTACGTATTGAAGAAGAAATATGGATACTCCAAAAGCGCCAAGTGAAAGGCAATTTGTGACTTTGCGTTGGAATTGCGATAAGCAGCCTCAGTTCATTTCATTCTGTGCTGTTATCTTTCAAAAAGTAATTCATATGTCGTGAAACCACTGGCATGACCATTTTTAATGTCCCCACTGTTTTTAGGCAAGGCAATGTGGGCGTAGAAGAAGGCTTGGGCGTCTTTCAGGGTTAAATTACCATGTTACCAAGACTTTGGCTAACTCCATTGATGTGAATGAGCAATGCCATACAACATGTACTATTTCCAATACCAAGAAATAACAACCAATCAACAACCATGAAAACGAAAACTAGCTAGCTAATGACGTCATCGATAAAGTACTGGCACTGCTGCTTTTGGCTAATTTATTCTCACATTTCAGCCGCATATATATATTCTACATGCCAATTATCGAGCCCAACGACTGAGCCACGTCCTGCGTCACCGCTAGAATTCCAATCACATCGAACGGACAGCACCTGGAACGGACAGCACCCGCCATGGACTCCCATTCGCGTTTCGCACCGAGATTGCCAGGTAAGTCCGCCGGCCGATCGGCCAAGTTATGCTTTTCGATCCGAAAATACCTAGTTTTGATCTTTGGTTTTGTAACTGCTTAGCATTTTGAGCGCAATAACAATCGATTTGCCTTTGGTTTTGGCGGAGAGAAAGAATTCCCAAAACAATGATTAAACACAGAGGAACAAAATAATTTTTTTGAGATTAAGTAAATAAAAAAGTTACTTTATCATTTAAGATAACAGATTACTTAAGGAACACAACTTTTATGTTCATTTACTCAAATAATATAAAAGTTACTTAATACTTTCATTTTAAGCTAAGACCAGGTTACAAATTTTCAGACTTCATATTTTTATGTGGTTACCTTTTATCTTATTAGCAAGATAATTTAAGATAACTTCACTTTCTGAGCAGAGTTAGACGATCAGAGTTGATACCCAAGTTTTAAGAAAAAAAAAATTTTTTTTTCAAATAAATGTAAATCAAACCTTTGGTCAGACTTCACTTCTAAGTTTAGTCAGCTTACCATCAAGATAATTAAAATGGGCCTAAAATATATAAAAATAAACCTGATTTTTTTGTATGCCTCTAATCTGCATTTCAAGTTTTGGGAGTCATTTCTTTACGTTGCTTTATTTTGTTTTTATTACCGTATCGTAGTTTCTTTGAGGGGAGAAGTGCCCTCGTTTGAGAACTAACAGTAATAGCCAGCAATTACGACTAATTTTCTTACCCAAAGCCCTGTCCCGCCCCCTCCCCCGCCTAGCCTAAACCCCAACCGCCCCCTAACCCACCTCTTTGTTTTTGGTATCAAGTTGCGCTACTAACCCCATTCCAAACTGTTTAACCCAGCCTGTGTGGGCAGCTCACCGAGCTCACTGTACATACATATCTTGCATTTTTAACTATCCAACGTGTTTGCTTGGTCTTGGTTTTTTGTGGATCCTATTTGTGTTTACTACTTTTTGCTAGCTGTGTTGTTGCCAATGTTTGTTAATGAGGTTTGTGTGATCGTGTGTTTGCCCCAGCTCTGTTTAGTCCTATTTAGCCCTAACCTTAGCCCTTAGTCCTAGCCCTAGCTTAGCGTTCCCTAATCGTCTCTGTTCTGTTCTGTTCTGTTCTGTTCTGTTCAGTAACCGTCTGCCAATTATATCGAAACAGTAAGACTCAGATGCCAAACGTACTCATCAAATTAAATTTTTCCGATTCATGTCTATTCACTTACTCAAACTCAATCCGAACTAAACTTGTTGCCTCAGGCCGTCAAAATACTTAACTGAAAGCATTACTTGTAAGATTACGTTTTTGGAATACCAGTCCGCGACAGGGAAACCTATGAGACTTAACAATGCCTTCCTCTCGCACCCCAAGGTCCTGCCATCAATCCTATCGTCGATAACTCGGATGAGCCGCAGCCCAGTCTCTCCGATCTCCACGACTTCGAGCCGAAGCTGGAGTTTGACGACACCGAACTGCTGGCCCCATCGCCCCTAGAAAGTAAGTAACTGATAAAATTTTATAAGAAGAACATTTTTGTAACTGCCCTGAAATACGAAATCAACTAATTTAATATCTCATTTGTCCCACAGAAGATGTTATGGTCGGCGATTTTGTCCTGGCAGATGGTGAGTTGGGGCATCCTTTCCTGTTAGTCAATGCATTACGTTTCACAAATCGCTTAGATCCAGAACTAGAACCCGAAGAAGATGTAAATTCACTGGAGGACGATTTTGAGGACCAACTCAGGGAACAGTCGGAGAACTTTCAGGCGCCCAGAAACAAATGCGATTTCCTGGGAACCGACAAACAAGGTCGTCACATATTCGGCATTTATGCATCTCGCTTTCCCGAGAAATCCCAGCTGGAAGGTTTCGTTCGGTAAGACTTATTTTTGATAATATATTTATAATATTTTAAGAGCTTAAACAAACTGGTTTCCTTTCATGCCAACAGTGAAATCATCAAAGAGATCGAACCATTTGTGGAGAACGACTACATCTTGGTTTATTTCCATCAAGGCCTCAAGGAGGACAACAAACCATCCGCACAATTCCTGTGGAACTCGTACAAGGAGCTCGATCGCAACTTCCGCAAGAACCTGAAGACGCTGTATGTGGTGCATCCGACGTGGTTCATACGGGTCATCTGGAACTTCTTCAGCCCCTTCATCAGCGACAAGTTCCGCAAGAAGCTAGTCTATATCTCCAGCCTGGACGAGTTGCGCCAGGCGCTCGGTCTGAACAAGCTGAAGCTGCCGGACAACATTTGCGACCTGGACGACAAGCTCAATCCCAGTCGGAAGCCAGCGACGCCGCCACCCAGCAGCAGCAGCAGCAGCATAAATGCATCCCGGCAGCAGCAGCTCAAAATGGCGACGACGCATCAATTCGGAGTGCCCCTCAAGTTCATCGTGATGAACAGTCCATGCCTGAACTCGATTCCGCCGATTGTGCGCAAATGCGTTGACTCACTGTCCATTACTGGCGTGATCGACACGGAGGGCATATTCCGGCGATCCGGAAACCACAATGAGATCATGGCGCTCAAGGAGCGCGTCAACCGAGGCGAGGATGTGGATCTGAAGAGCGTGAGTGTCCACGTGATAGCCGGCCTGCTGAAGAGTTTCCTGCGTGATCTCGCCGAGCCGCTGCTCACCTTCGAGCTGTACGAGGACGTCACCCGATTCCTGGACTGGCCCAAGGAGGAGCGGTCCAGGAATGTCACCCAACTGATACGCGAAAAACTGCCCGAGGAAAATTATGAACTGTTCAAGTACATCGTAGAGTTCCTGGTCAGGGTGATGGACTGCGAGGACCTCAACAAGATGACCTCCTCCAACCTGGCCATCGTGTTCGGTCCCAACTTCCTGTGGTCGCGCAGCACCAGCACCTCCCTGGAGGAGATCGCCCCCATCAACGCGTTCGTCGACTTTGTGCTGCAGCACCACAAGGACATCTACTTGATCGACGTCAATCAGAGCACGGTGTCCGTCGATTAACGACTGGCCCCCCACAAACAAGTCCGTAATTGTAAATTGTATGATTTTAATGTTAGTCCTAAGTGAACCAATGGTTAGCTAAAAAGAGAACACACAAAAGGCAATCGAAGCTAGTGCTAGAGCAGAAGGCAGTTTCGTGTATAAAGTGTACTGTAATCCTAAGTTGAATTTAAAACTGTGTGTAAGTGTGTGTGGAACTGCTTGTAGACCCAACTCCACGCTCCACGCCAACTTCCCCTAAAGCACAATTATCTAGAACCCACCCACATCCCCCACTAAGCGCTTAGTACGATTGATTTACCAAAGAAATTTGCTTGTGTTCGTTCGGCGGCGAACAGGAGAGAAATTCGAAATGAGATGTTATTATTATGCTAATGTATTAACGCACATTCCCACATGCCCATGACCGGAAACGAACACGATTCTTGGCTGCGTTGCTGAATGCACCTGCCACGCGTAAGTGGAGTTGTGGCGAACTCAAAAATCGTATAATGTGTAGAATTTTGAATTTCCTTATAGTCATACAAACAATTTTTATAAAATAACGGTATTGTTAAAAATAAAGCAAATGTTAAAACCACGAATTGGGATAGACCTTCTTTTGGGCTTAATTTTGTGCAAAAATTGAATAAAAAGAATCGAAATGCACATCTCTTTAATTAAACTTTTATGCCATTGCCTAGATTAATGAATCACGTTTTTGTAGTAAAAATTAATCATTTAGTTGTAGGCAGACTCATGTAATTACCTTGCCGAAGCGAAACCGCAAGAGTTTTTAAAGCATTTTGAGGACCAAACTTGCGCATAATCACAAGCGATTTTTTATTGATATCAAAACAAATCGGTCCAGTTTGGAATATTAAATAGATCATTAAGGGTCACAAGGAGTCGACATAAATGGCTTAAATGTTGATGTTCTTCAGTTTGCGATTCAGGTCGTTGAACTTGAGGATTTTACGCACAAAGAAGTCGCCATAGCGATGCGAAACCTTAGTGTCAGCTATGTGGATCATGTCGTCGTCGATGTAGAAGTCCAACTGAAATATTAATCAACGGTTAGATACCACTTTTAAGGATCTTTCTGTGTTAAACTCACCTCAGAGCCCGACTTGAACGTTCCCTCCAGGCCGCTGGGTCCCTTGCTCCACACCAGGTTGCGCATTTTGTGCTTGAAGCAGAGCAAACGGATCAGAAGCTTCGACACGTCATCGTCGCTGGCATTGGGATCGATGAAGGAAGCCAGTTTGGTCAGCGGCAGGGTGGTGTACAGCTTCAGATAGGAGCGCGTGGTGGGCAGATCCTTTTGCTGGCGCACCTCGTCCATGAACACCAGCAGCTGGTGCTCCATGGGGTCCTTGACGTAGTCCTCCATGGGCGCATCCGCGGCCGGCGGGCAGGGACTCACAAATCGCGGGCAGGCGAACACAAAGAACGACTTAAAGACCTCCAGGTCACCGCACTGCATCTTGAACATGGCGTCGTGGTAGTTCTTCTCGCGTAACACCTGCTGGATGGACTCGTCGATGCACTGGGGATGCAGCACCAGGCAGATGGCCAGCAGGTGGTACATCTGCTCCGCCTGCTTGTTGATCTGGTCGTTCTGGTACGAGCGGGTGCTGTACAGCTGCTTGGTGCGCTGGATGTACAGCAGGATGTCGGAGAAAGTGCGGATGGCATCGGCATAGCGGCGCATCATCATGTAGGCGAAGCCCACGTAGTAGGACGTGGAGATCTGGCAGGCGGGGATGTGCGAGTAGGCGGACTTCTTGTGGATCTCAATGGGCTCCAGAACCTTGATGGCCTGGTAGTAGTCACCCAGCAGCGAGTGCACGCGCAGCAGGCCGACGAGGGAGAAGTAGCCCAACATCTTGTAGAAGGACAGCTTGCCGAAGTCTCCGGCTACGGTCTGGGGATCCACGCCCTGCGAGATGGCCTCCAGCTGCTTCTTGATGTTCGAGATGTCCACCAGGGAGTGCAGCACGTTGAGGATGCAGAGAATGCTCCACACGTTGCTGTGGTTCACGCACAGCTGCTGGATCTCGTCCTGAGACTTGTCCGTCAGGCGGGCACTGCAACGGATAGGACTTAGGGTTAAACACATCCACAAAGAGTAGGAATAGCTACTCACCGATACTGCGCAAAGTTCTGAAACTGATACACAAACTCGTCCACCAACTCCCACAGCCAGATGTCGGGCAGCTCCAGCATCACCGGATTCTGGGCCGAAATGATCAGGTTGAAGAAATCGCAGTAGTTGAAGAACGAGTTGATCCGCTGCTCCAGCTTGGGGCCGCCGGGAATGCGGGCGTGGATGTGGCGGTAGTACAGCTCCTTGTACAGGATCAGAAAGACCTTGTCGTTGTCCACGATGGCGGCCACCTCCTGCTCCTCGGGCCAGGCCGTCTTATCGAAGTGGTGGTCGCTGATCTGCGGGAAGGTGTTCTCGTACATGTTCTGGATGTCGTACAGGTTGCCCTCCTTGATCGCCTGGCAGAAGTTGATCAGGAAGTACTTGACATTGTCCGGCATCCGGGTGGAGAAGTAGTTCCTCTCGTACTCCATGTCCAGCTGCGGATCGCCGGTGTGCGCGAAGTCATCGTAGTACTCCTGAAATTCCCAAAAAATGAGTTTCGATTTGTGTGTGGGGCACAAAAGTTGGGTTATGTTGATGGCGGAGTCTCGGGATTGGCATTCCCGATCAGGGACCTTGCCGGAGTTCCTGCACTCACCGAATTGCTTGGGTATTCGTCGCCGCCGTACATTGTCGCTGTTTTTATATTTTCCGGTTCTACACAAGTCGCAAAGCCTATAAAAACGCTGGAGAATTTGACAACACGCCAACAAATTTTTGGCGAAAAGAGTGTGACCGACTATCGATAGCACCGGGCTGACCAACTATCGACTTTTTCGCTCCTCAAACGATTGGGGTATTCTGAAAACGATACAAAATTTGTGAATGTATATTTTTTGAAATAAAACAGATATGAGGCCTTTTTAAATATTTTAGGTTTTGATTGAGACAGAAAATCATTTGTATCTCTCCAGCTAATTGCTAGAAAATAAATACATTTAATATTATATTGTTCTCTGTAACTGAATTCAAACGGTTTCACCTTAATTCGCCATTGCCATTAAATATGTCATAAGAAATGTAAAAAAAATATGTACACCGAATGTTGAAGACCTTTTGAAATTCAAACCTTTTTATTATTATTAATTTCATTGGACTTTTTAATTTGGATGAGTTAACTACTAGACGAAATAGATTAAGAGGAAGTGAAAATCAGAACAGAACGATAGTTTCTGGTATATTTTCAATGTGGCTTGCAGTATTTTCTCCTAAGCCCAACGGTATCTTGCCACGTTTCAGCTACGGTCACACTGGCAGCGAGACGGATTGGAAGTGTTCGTGTGTCATCCGCGTTAATTATTTTCCTAATTCAAACGAAACTCTTTCGAAGTGGGCGTGATCTGGAGGAGTCGCAGTGCAACAGGGGCGTCGCTATAAATTAATTAAAACAAATTATAAACAAAAGCAAAAAGTGTTGGAGGAGAATTTTGGACTCTGCGGAAGCGTTGTCATAAATCATCTGCTTTTTACGGTGGTTTTCCCAGTAGAAAAGTGCATTTAGTGAAAGATTTCTCGGAAGTCGGATATAAATGTGTTTCTAAATCGATTCCGCAGAAGTATTGATCAACAGCCTTTAGATGAGGCTGCCCAGGAGTAATACGAAAACAGCGATTTCTTCGCTTCAGCTTGGACTATTTTGCCTTCTATTGCTGGCCAATAATGGCATTAAATCGGTGCAAGCAGGTAAAAACAATATTTTACTCAAATAACCCCAGAATTTGAATAGATTTAGTTTGATTTGTTATGAAATGTGTCATAAAACTTCGATTGTTTGTAAGCCAACGTTTTGGGCGTGTTCCCCAAAGCTGGAGACTCGCTCCTCCATTTTCTTTTGCTCCGTGCTTCGCTTTTTAACTCGCTCTTTTCGATCGTGTGGAAAAGAGTGGGGGAGAGCGCTAGAGAGCGATCAAAACGTTGCTTACGAATAGCGGTGGCAAAACAAAACCGTCGATTACCAACGCCCGTTTTTTACTCGTTCTTTTGTGAAACTGACTTTAGTTTATAGATTTATATTTTTTTATGGAGCTTTAGCCCGGGGGAAATAAGCCCAAAGTTTTTGCCGGCCGCATCCCTGCATTTCAGTGTTTTCCGGCTTTTCCAATGCGCATGCGGCGAAAAAAGCATCTGCTGATTGATGATGCTGGCCGGGGAACACGTGCTTTTATCATCATCCTTCCATATGTCAACAGACTTTAGTTATTTTCCTCCTGATTTGGCCCGTTCCATGGAAAACAAACAATCCAAAGATCATATGCAAACATTTTTATGACTAAAAATAAACAATGCCAAGCAATTAATTTGCCACTTTCACGCCTTGAAGCGTCGAAAGCAGACAGCCGACATATATGTATCCTCAGTCTTTGGTCGATTTCCATAATTTATTTCAGTTCTTATTGCCCCGAAAATAGCATCATTCGCACTTCAAGTTTCTCCAGATCGGCGGAAATTGCCTTTCATAGACCTCGTCATTTTTGTTTCATTAAGAACATTAAACAGATTTTTTTTCTTGAATTGGGCAATTATGTAGCGGAAAAGTAGTTCAAACCTGCTGCCTTTTGCCTGCTCCCAAAAGTATTGATTATTTAGCGAGATATTGTCGTGCGTGTTTCGCTCTGTTTCTTGCCTGGCTTATCAGGTTGATTTTTCCCCATCCACACAAGCCTCAAAGTCAGCTTAAAGTGCTCACGAACTCCGGATGACCTCGCAAGGGTTGTTTTCCCCACACCCACAAGGAGGAAATGCCAGTGTGTTTGCCTAGGAGCTCCTGCTGCACCCATTATAAAACATTTCTTGGGGGTTGCAACAGACAGGGGCAATTGTCTGGATTTCCGACACTGCCTGCCCCCATTTCCGAACATTTTTTGAAACGGATCCCAGGGAAGGACCGAAGGACTCTCGTCACCACCAAATATTATGGTGCAAATATGAGACAAGAATCTGCACTTGCTGGCACAGTAGGTCCTCAATAAATCTTCACATATAATTACATAGAAGAACAAATTTAACTTTCAGAGGTATTATCGTTAATAACAGGAAATATTTATTAGATGTTTTTTTTTTAAGGTCATCATTTTACGTCATATTGCTATATTATAATCATCGAATTTGATGTGTAGCAATATATAAACAGGAATGCTTCTGATTTCTATTGAAAATTCCATTTAATTACTAACTCAATTGTGTGAAAACATTTTAAATGATATTTATTCATTGCAAGCAATTCAAATCAATTATGTATAAAACATTCTTCCTAGAAAGCAGAGAATAAGGATTCTCAACTGTATGCCAAATATTTACCCTTTAGTTTGGACTTATCTTGTTTACGTATTCCTTATTGATGTGGCTTTTTTATGGCCCCATAAAAAGAGGCCACTGGACCAATTATGACCGAGTAAAGTGCTTAAAATTATTGGCCGCCATCCAAACAGATTCTTCATATCTCAATTTTAATTACGCCCGTGACAGTTTGCGTTCATTTCTTCGCTCGACAATGTAAAATTGAATATGGGTCATGGAAATTCGAATATTTATAGATCGGTTTTGTTTTTTTCCAGATGCCTTCACAGACTATTTCTCAGATTATGAGTGCAACCAGCCGCTCCTTGAAAGAGCTGTCCTCACGTCAACCTCATCGTTAACAGAACGAGGACCCGAAAAAGCCCGTTTAAACGGTATGTAATATTGCTTTATTCAGGTGATTCTTGATTTGTGTTTGTGTTACTCCCGTTGCCTTTTATTTCTTATATTAGCAATTATTATTTTAAAATGCTGCCCCAATCCATTTTGATTTTATAGATTATTAATTTTTGGCTTTGTTTTTAAGTGTTGTTCCTGAACCTTTTAAATTAAGCGTCGATTTTTATATTGAGTTGGTAGTCTAATAAATTAGACAATTTGGCGCTCTAAATAAACATGTTTTCTTTGTTAATTTGATTTGGTAATTTTAATTTTTATTTTCGGAAATATAGAACAGGATTTAAATGTATAAGTTTCATAACTGCTAAAGCCAGGCGACTTAAAACCGAGTGTTTTTAATTACAGAGACTAAAACCTTTTTTCGTAGACTTGTATGAATGTTACAAAACCTTTAAATGTAAATATAATTACCTATAAAGCATCCTAATCATTTTACAAAATATTATTTCAAAAAACTCATCATTACAAATTACCACAAAATCGAAATTGTAAACGGGAACACAGTTTAATTGTGTAGCGCAGTATTTTTGCAGTATATTTGTTGGGCATAATCACTGGGGGATTTCTACCCTAACCACTTGTGGCCATACTGCCATACAAAAGCGAATTAGCAAAAACATTGCAAGGCGAAAACGCCCCAAAAACAATGACTGTGAAGGCAATTAGATAGTTATAGAACGCACCGAAATGAGCAAACACATCTGCACCCGCTGGGCCTTTGACCTGACTAGTTGGAAGCCCTCACTCCCGCAACTGAGTCAGGCGGTGGCCTCAATTCAGCCGGAGGAACGTGTCCGACTCATGAAGTTCCACTTCATCGACGACTTTCTGTCTTCGCTAATTGGTCGTCTACTGATGCGGAAATATGTGAGCACATGCAGCGGATTGCCGTCCGACCAAGTCAAGTTCGCCCGGGATGTGAGGGGAAAACCGTACTGGGTGAGGGAGGATTTCGCCGGGCCACCTCTCAGCTTTAATGTTTCGCATCAGGGAAGCTTAGTGCTGCTGGCAGGGATTTCGGGAGAAGGCAGTGATCCCGACTTTGGCCTTGGCACGGATGTCATGAAGATCGAGTACAGTGGTGGCAAGTCACTGGCGGATTTCTTTCGCCTGATGAAGAGCAAGTTTTCGGCACAGGAATGGAGCTACATTGGCAGACCGCAACATGATGAGCGGGACCAGGTGAAGGCCTTCATGCGACACTGGTGCCTGAAGGAGGCCTACGTCAAGGAGCTGGGCGTCGGCATCACTGTGGATCTGGAAAAGATCAGCTTTTCCGTGGACACAACTCACTCCCTGGAGGCGGTGAATTCCCCTTTAATCGGCACCAGCCTGCGTTGCCACGACAAACTCATGGATAACTGGCACTTCGAGGAGCATTTACTGCAGGAGGAATACTGTGCGGCCATTGCATTCCGGAATTGTTTGCCACACGAGCAAGGAAGGTTCAAGATACTAGGAATTGAGGAACTTCTTGTCAAGAGTCCGAAATCAGAACTGGAGGAAGTGCTGAGCTACTGCCAAAGGGCTCTACTTAAGCCCTACAAGCGATCCTAAAATATTAGGTTCTAAGGAATTCCTGCATATCTAGATTCATTTGTTATCCCCAAAATAAACATGCATTTATATTTTTTCAATAATTGTGCCGAAATCGGAATAATTTGTAATCCTTGTGTTGTCATGTTGCGCGCACCCCCGAAAAATCGGTTGTGTTTGCCTGGCACTGGATAAACAAACCATACGAAACGAAACGAAGCCGGAAATATGCTTAAAAGGCCATAAACCCAAATTTAGGAACCCGTAATGGGACTCAGACAGGGGCCAGACATCGCTTTGGTTGAATTTATGCGCCAACAGGATAGCTACTCGTAAGGGTAGCTCTGCTTGGTTCGTTTATTTGAATTATTTTTGGCATTCCCGAAAGTTTTATCGATGGGAACGATGGCTGGCTGATATGAACGTTGTTGCCAACGGCGGACAAAGGAAACTTTAATGCGGAAAAAATATAATGGCGACTGTGTACTGGGTTTGCCATGAGAAATCCCTGCAGTCTGGTCTTTCTCACACTATTTTGTCACACCTGCTTGCAATTTGGCGCGGATTGCAATTAAAACAAAGGCACGCGGTCGCGACTGGTTATGCCCAAACATTTTAGAGCTCAACCATTTTGTGTTGACACCAACTTAACCCCCGGGTTTACGAAATCCTTTTTTTTTTTTGGCAGGGGTTGAACCCCGTTTTGAAGGACTCGACCACTTGCAGCTGTCAATCGGAATCGCCCCTAAATTATGGTTTATTAATTGGAAACACCCCCTGGAAATTTAGGCAATTTTAAACTCACTGTTGTAGCAAATTAAATAGGGCAGACCTCCTTCCACACTCCTCCACTTTAAGTGCATTTTCTTTTGCTTTTGTTTTGGCTTAAAATGTATCATTTTCGTTTTATTGCCCATCATCCCATGACCATTTGCGACCACCAGCTGGCACCTCGTGGTCCGCCAAGAACTCGGACTTCGACCAGCGTCTGATTGTTGACCTGGGCGTGGTGCGGAACGTGACGCACATCGCCCTGCAAGGACGACCCCACAGCAATGAGTACGTCACCGAGTACACCATTAGCTACGGCATAACCGATCTAGAGTTCGCCGACTATAAAGAGCCGGGCGGCAATGTCAAGGTAAACAATCGATCTCGAACACAATTGCGAATGTTTCCCCAATCCAAACTGGATGGGAATTATTTTGGTGGTGGGATAACTGCACGGAAAAAAACGCATTGTCGGTATAAATTTAAATGTAATCAATTATTGCCCGTCCTTACATTTTCATCACAATTAAATTTCCTTAGAATATACAAAAAATGCATATTTCAAAATATAAACTTTATTAAAATACTATCTAATCGTTAACCAAATTTATTGAATAAATAATATATATATATTTTATAATTTTAACTAATAACTATTAAGGTTTTTTCTCTGTCTAAAAACAAATATTGGTGGCTGGAAAAATCTTAAATCTGCGAAAGCCGATTATCATTTCATCAATCCATTAACACTTACGTTTGCTTTTGTGCTTTGTACTTTTTTATTATGTGTGCCTTTATTTTTTTCCACCCCGCATGCATCTGTTATTTGTTTGGTTACTAGTCCTGTAGTTCACTTCCTATAAAAAACACGCATACCCTTTTCTACACTCTGACACTGCGACTAACTAGATGGGTAAATGCACCTTGTGCAGGTAACGCTGCTTGGACACCGGTCGAGAATACCTATAACCACTTTCTAACACTCGACCTGGGGGATCCACGCATGGTGCGCAAGATCGCCACCATGGGACGCATGCACACGGATGAGTTCGTGACGGAGTACATTGTCCAGTATTCGGACGATGGCGAGTTCTGGCGCTCGTACGTGAATCCAACAAGCGAGCCGCAGGTACTGTGACTAAACCTAGGTTAAGATTCAAACACAACTAATCCTGGCTTAAAGGTTGGCGGACGATTAATGCTTTTGGCTTTAGTTTAGCACTCCCAACGTTTAATCTTATGCATGTAATTAAATATAAATATGGTATCCAACACAGATGTTCAAGGGAAACTCCGATGGCAACTCAATTCACTACAACGTCTTCGAGGTGCCCATTATCGCACAATGGGTGAGGATTAATCCCACCAGATGGCACGATCGCATTTCCATGCGAGTGGAGCTCTACGGCTGTGATTACAGTATGTTTTTTCTTTTACAATCCCACTGCGATTGCTTATCCAAAATATCTTATTTGCAGCCTCTGAGAACCTCTACTTTAATGGGACTGGTTTGGTGCGCTACGATTTGAGACGGGAGCCCATTGCGTCCCTGAAGGAGTCGATCCGATTCCGCTTTAAGACTGCCTTTGCCAACGGAGTGATGATGTATTCGCGTGGCACCCAGGGCGATTATTATGCCCTGCAGCTGAAGGACAACAAGATGGTGCTGAATCTGGACCTGGGATCGCGGGTGATGACCTCCTTGTCGGTGGGCAGTCTGCTGGATGACAATGTGTGGCACGATGTGGTGATCTCAAGGAACCAGCGTGACATAATCTTCTCGGTTGATCGTGTCATTGTACGGGGTCGCATCAAGGGCGAGTTCAGTCGGCTGAATCTTAATCGGGAACTATATCTTGGCGGTGTACCAAATGTACAGGAGGGCTTGATTGTCCAGCAGAATTTCTCGGGCTGCCTGGAGAATATCTACTTCAATTCAACCAACTTTATTCGCGGAATGAAGGACAGCTACGAGCTGGGAGAGGCATATCTCTTCACAAGGGTGAACACCATCTATGCGTGTCCATCGCCTCCAATTTATCCGGTTACCTTCACCACCCGCTCGTCGTTCGTTCGTCTGAAGGGCTATGAAAACTCCCAGCGCCTGAATGTCTCCTTCTATTTCCGCACCTACGAGGAGACTGGAGTAATGCTGCACCATGACTTCTATTCCGGTGGTTACATCAAAGTCTTCCTGGAGTTTGGCAAAGTAAAGATTGACCTGAAGGCCAAAGAAAAAGCCCGCATCATTCTGGACAACTACGACGAACAGTTCAATGATGGCAAGTGGCATTCGTTCGTGATCTCCATCGACCGCAACCGTTTGGTTCTGAATATTGACCAGCGACCGATGACCACAACGAAGAGCCTGCAGATTGCCACTGGCGCACAGTACTACATAGCTGGTGGAAAGGACAAAAACGGATTTGTTGGCTGCATGCGATTGATTTCGGTGGACGGAAACTACAAATTACCCCAGGATTGGGTGAAGGGCGAAGAGGTTTGTTGCGGCGACGATGTCGTCGTGGATGCCTGCCAGATGATCGATCGCTGCAATCCAAATCCCTGCCAGCACAAGGGCTCTTGTCACCAGAACTCCAGGGAGTTCTTCTGTGACTGCGCACACACAGGCTATGCCGGAGCCGTTTGTCATACATGTGAGTGCACACAAATTACTTACTTAATATTCCTTTACTTATTGTTTCCATTTTGTATAAAGCCAACAATCCATTATCCTGCCTGGCTCTGAAGAATGTGCAGCATGTGCAGCAGCGTGTCAATCTTAACCTCGATGTGGATGGCAGTGGTCCTCTGGAGCCCTTCCCAGTCACATGCGAATTCTACTGTAAGTATTTACAATTTTATTAATTTTATATAAAATTCAAGATTAAATGTAAACTATATAAGAAGAGCTTTTTTTGTATTGAACTCTTAACTCCTATTTTTTTAAGTAATGTTTATGCGGCAATTGTGTTCAATATAACCCAAACCTTTGAGTTAAAAGATAACCCATCAATCAAATTCTCATGACATAAAGAGGAACATTATTAAATTCTTTGTGAAGTACTTAAACGTGGCTAAAGTAACAGTAGTTCAGAAGTAACTTTATGTTCTTTTGACATTGATTGATTAATATATGTTTTGTTTCTCTAGCGGATGGACGCGTGATCACCACACTCAGCCATAGCCAAGAGCACACCACCACTGTGGATGGTTTCCAAGAGCCTGGTTCCTTCGAACAGTCCATCATGTACGATGCCAATCAACTGCAAATCGAAGCTCTGCTCAATCGCTCTCACAGCTGCTGGCAGCGGCTTAGCTACTCCTGCCGGTCCTCCCGACTCTTCAACTCGCCATGTGAGTATTTATAGGTTTTCTCTTATTTAATTAGTATAATAATGCATTCTCCATACAGCTGAGGTAGGAAATTTCCGACCGTTCTCCTGGTGGATCTCGCGCCACAACCAACCGATGGACTATTGGGCTGGCGCTCTGCCCGGATCTCGTAAGTGCGAGTGTGGAATCCTGGGCAAGTGCCATGATCCCACCAAGTGGTGCAACTGCGATTCGAATAGTCTGGATTGGATGGAGGATGGTGGTGATATCCGGGAGAAGGAGTACCTTCCTGTGAGGGCTGTGAAGTTTGGTGACACAGGAACTCCGTTGGACGAGAAAATGGGTCGTTATACCCTAGGACCGCTGCGCTGCGAGGGTGATGATCTGTTCAGCAATGTGGTGACCTTCCGCATTGCCGATGCCTCCATAAACCTGCCACCCTTCGATATGGGCCACTCTGGAGACATTTACCTGGAATTCCGCACAACCCAGGAGAACTCAGTGCTATTCCATGCCACTGGACCTACGGACTACATCAAGCTGAGCTTAATTGGCGGCAACAAACTGCAGTTCCAGTACCAAGCGGGCAGTGGGCCACTGGGCGTGAATGTGGGCACCAGTTATCACCTGAACGACAACAACTGGCACACGGTGAGTGTGGAGCGCAACAGGAAGGAGGCTCGCCTGGTGGTGGATGGATCCATCAAGGCCGAGGTCCGGGAGCCGCCAGGTCCAGTGCGTGCTCTTCACTTGACTTCGGATTTGGTGATTGGCGCTACCACTGAGTACCGCGATGGTTACGTGGGCTGCATTCGTGCTCTGTTGCTCAACGGTAAGATGGTCGACCTGAAGGATTACTCCAAGCGTGGACTTTACGGCATTCACACTGGGTGTGTGGGCCGCTGTGAGTCGAGTCCTTGCCTCAACAATGGCACCTGTATCGAGCGATACGATGGCTACAGCTGCGACTGCCGTTGGAGCGCCTTCAAAGGACCTA